TATGTATGTATGTATGTATGTATTACATTTATACCCTGTCCTACCCCAAAAAATGGGCTCGGGGTGGCTCACAACATAAAATCAGCAAGCAATAAAAACAGTAAAACAATAAATAGCAATAGCAGTTCAATAGCAGATCAAACCAAGAGCAATAGCAGATCAAACCGAAGAGAAGAGATTGGATTTATACCCTGCCTTTCACTCGGAGTCTCAGATCGGCTTACAAACTCCTTTCCCTTCCCCTCCCCACAACAGACACCCTGTGAGGCAGGTAGGGCTGAGAGAGCGCTGACAGAAACTGCTCTTTCAGGAACAGCTCTGACAGAACTATGGCTTGCCCAAGGTCATCCAGCAACTGCAAGTGAAGGAGTGGGGAATCAAACCCGGTTCTCCCAGATTAGAGTCCGCGCACTTAACCACTACACCAAACTGGCTCTCATGCCTTATGAACCCTAGGAAACTCCAGTGTCCAGATAGTATCCAAAACAGTAGGGCACTGGAAGAAGGCCATAATCAGTGCTGTGGACAGGACAGGGGGGCCAGAGACACCCCATCGTGCTGAAATCCTTGAGTCCAGAGATGTGTAAATATGGTCAGAACTGTTATTGTAAGAGCTATCAAACAGGGTTTGAGTGGCTAGAATGTCAGACTAAGATCTGGGAGATACAGGGTTGAATCCCTCATCTTCCATGCAAGCTTGCATGGTGACCATGGACGAATGGTACACACTCAGCCTAACCTTCTTCACGGGGTTGTTGTAAAGTGGAGGAGAGGGCAACACAGTAAGCCACTTTGGGAGCCCACTGTGGAGAAAGGCAGAGTGCAAACCAAGTAAATAAGTCAGCCAGCAGTACCCCGGGTTCAGGGCAAGGCTGCAGTTGGGTGCAGGCAGGGTCTGAAATGATTGGAAGAAATCATGGCAGTCATCAAGGGGAGTAATAGCCAGAGTAATCCAGTTTTTGAGATTGGGAGAAAAGTAATTTGGTTGTAAGGGATAAAGCGGAAACCAAGGCAGGTTCCTAAAGCAGGGGTCTGTTCATAACAGAGTTTGTTTGGGCTAAAGAGCAAGACGGGGAACTGAGGCTCAATGGGAATATAATAGTGGTTTGTTGGAATCACCTGACATAATGGTTCCTTGCTGCAAAATGTGGTACCCAAGAAGAACTTTGGTTGTTGTGCTGGTTATGCAGGTTATACAGATGGCATGGATTTTGTTCCGGTATTTGGATTTTTGCGTGGACCAATATGGCTGTACAGCTTTTTAAATGCCGATGATAGCTTCTGTGTGAGTCTTCAAGTCATGGTGCATCTAAATGCAAGTCTTGAGTGTTCCTGTGAAGTTACTGTGTGCATGCTGATTTTCATCCATGATCATGGTAAGGACATCCCTCATTTAGAAGGAGATGATTGATGGTCAGCGAAAGGGGGGGGGTGTCTTCCCTGTTACACCTTGTAACATATGCAAGACTTGACTTCACAAAACCACATGAGATTAGAATCACTGAATGGATGTGTAATAAATGTATTAGTTTTATTGCTAATTTACCGTTGTTAGAGTCAAATGGATGTCATAGCTATTACCGTAGTCTTCATAAAGGGAAAACAGTACTGAAATATTATGTTTGGGC